CAAAATGCAATACCTCGCATTTATTCAATTGAAATCCATCTGCTATTTTTCAGCCCATTGACCCATTTGATCAAAAGCCCTTTGTAATCTTAGAAAACCTTCTTCACTGTCTTCTATTTTTTGTGTATTCTGCAAACTTAATAACCATGCCTTCTATATTCTCATCCAAATCATTTATGTAAATAACAAGCAAAAGAGGACCCAGAACAGAGCTCTGCAGAACACCAGTCCAGAAAGAAACCCTCCACCACCACCCTCTGCTTCCTGCTGTTAAGCCAATTATGCATCCCGTTAGCAAGCTCACCCTGAATCCCATGTGACCTAACTTTACTAATTAGTCTACCATGCAGAAGCTTGTTGAAGGCTTTACTAAAATCCAAATAAACAATGTCTACTGCTCTGCCGTCATTAATATTTTTGATAACTTCCTGAAAATACTCAATCAAGTTTGTGAGACATGATTTTCCTCACACAAAACCATGCTGACTAACCCTAATCAATTTTTGCCTCTCTAAATGTTCATAAATCCATTCTTTTATAATCCCTTCCAACAATTTACCCACAACTGAAGTCAGACTCCCAGGTCCCCGGTTTCTCCTTATACCTTTTTTAAACAAAGGTACAACTTTAGCCACCCTCCAGTAATCAGGCACCTCACCTGTAGTTATAGACGATGCAAATACATTTAGTTCTGCTATAATGCATGTTTCATTAATGCAAATTGGCTGTAATGTGATCGATGAATAGGGGACGCTGTTTGGATAACACAAACTTCCTGCTGTAAAAGTAAAGTGATTTCCCTATGACGCAATTTTCTATGGCAATTTTCTATGGCACGAGGTCACACAAGGAGTGTTATAGGAGAACTGCCTGTACTCCGGCAAAGAGCCTTGCAATTTCCTTAATATTTTTATTCATCCGTTGTTGCTTAATATATCATCCCTTTTTATTGCAGTGACTAACTCATGATCAATATTGGAAGGGAGTTGGAAAACAGGAAACCCTAGGTCATCTATTATGACACTACCATCTCTTTTACATTCCCCCCTTTTCTTGCTTATTGATTCTATACTCTGGAATATTGAACTGCCAGCCCTGCCCCTAGCTCAGTCATGTCTCTGTACTAGCAAAGGTGTCATATCCCATGTATTAATCAACATCCTCAACTCATCATTATAAGTTACTGATCAAGTCACAAATCACACAAGTATAATTTTCAAAAGAACAAAGAAGTTTCACCCTTAACTCAAGAAGAGAGTTTTCTTTCCAGAAGTGGGAAAGATAAGCTGGGTCACTTGTTCTAAGGCAACTTCCCTCTGACTGAGCTTGTTCTTAGCAGGCTCCCCTCCAACTGAACTAAATTGTCCATAGTGTCCGGGGATGTGCAGGCTAGTTCGGTTAGACATGGGAAATGCAGGGCTACAGGGATAGGGTATGGGGTGGGTCAGGGACAGATGCTCTTCAGGGGCTGAGTGTGGACTCGATGGGTCAAATGGCCTGCTTCCACACTGTAGGGATTCTATGATTCAACTTGATAAAAACAACTACCTCCCCAAGCCAGTCACTATTCAAAACAGCTCCAGCTATTTACAGCAAGATCTAGAGCAAAGCCTGTGTTTATCACCATTCATGTGATTTACAGGATGTCTTGTTTTTAAAAAATGCCCAATGTCCACAGTAAACATCAAGAGATCTCTTTCAAAGAACACCTGGTACTTTCAAACAAATTCATTTCCCACAATCCTTCAAAACTTAAATTCTCTAAAAGATATTAAATTTAAAGCATCGAACACTGGCAAAAGGATTGAAGGTATTTGTGCTTAATCCAAAACTAATGGAAGAAAGCTGCAGAGAATGAACTGAAACATCTCTTACCTTGATTGTTTCATCATGATAATAGCATGGGAAGGGCACTACTGCCGAAGATCACAAGGAAATATGTTTTTTTGATTAGGACTAAAATCATCCTTTCTATAGTAAAATCATCATCTAGTCACCATTTATATTTATTTTGCATAGCTGTTCAGTAGCACATTCTACGATCCCATCAGCCAACTTGAGGAAGGATTTATTTGAGGTTGTAGACATGCTCATCGAGCCAGTGGGTTTGGTTGCAAACGATTTGTCACCCTGCTAGGTAACATCGTCAGTGCGCCTCTGGTGAAGCAACAGTGTTCTGTCCTGCTTATTATTTATACACCTCGGTTTGCTGGGCTGGTACTTTTGGTTTTGTTTCTCAATTGTTTGTGTGCAGCATCTAATTCAATGCGTTTGTTGTTGGAGTTCTGATTGGAATTCCAGGCCTCCAGGAATTCTTTGGTGTATCTCTGTTTGGCTTGTGCCACACATCTATCGATGTGTTGTTCCAGTTGAATTTGTGTCCCTCGTTGTCCGTGTGTAGTGAGACAAGTGAGAATTGGTCGTGTCTCTTGGTGGCTAGTTGGTGTTCATGTAGCTGTATAGTCAATTTTCTTCCGGTTTGACCTATGTAGTGTTTCTCACAGTCCTTGCATGGTATTTTGTAAATTACCCCAGTTTTGCGGTTTTGGGTATAGGATCCTTTATGTTCGTCAGTAGCTGTCGTAGGATGGTTGTCAGTTGTGGGCTACTCTGATACCCAGGGGTCTGAGTGGTCTTGTGGTCATCTCTGAAATATCATTGACGTTTGATGTAACAGCACTATTTACATCCATAAACATCGACCTAGCCAAAGAAATAACTGCCACACTGCTGGACAAATCACATAAGCAAACAACCCAGGACACCAACATCATCAATAAGGGCACCACCATGAAACTATGAGGTCTGTGCCTCACAACCTACTTCACCTTCAACAACAGCAAATACAAACAAATCAACGGAACACCAATGGGATCCCCAGTATCAGGACGGATTGCAGAAGCAGTATTGCAAAGGTAGGAACAGACAGCACTCCCCACTATACAACCCAAACTTTAGGTCTGATATATAGATGACAGCTTCTTGATTATTAAACACACACAACCAGAAGAAACCCACCGACACAAACAACATCTGTGCCGGGATAAAATACATGAAAGAAGAAGAAAACAACAACCTACTATTTTTCTGAAGAAGGGTCTAGGCCCGAAACGTCAGCTTTCCTGCTCCTCTGATGCTGCTTGGCCAGCTGTGTTCATCCAGCTCTACACCTTGTTATCTCTTAACCAACTATCCTTCCTGGACATAATGGTAGAAAGCAAAAGCAACACGGAGTTCCAGACTAACATACATAAAAAGATCACACATACGGACCAAATACTCAATTACACTAGCAACCACCCCAATGCCCACAAACTGAGCTGCATCAGGACACTATTTAAATGAGCCACAACACATTGCAGCAACCCGGAACTACGCAAAGCAGAACTGGAACACTTACACGAAGTCTTCAAAAAAAATGGGATAGCCAAAAAGCACAATCCGCCATTACCTCCGAGACAGACCACAACAGGAAGACACAAAATGACCAGACTCACTCGTCACCCTAACATATATCAAGGACATTTCAGAGATGACCACAAGACCACTCAGACCCTTAGGTATCAGAGTAGCCCACAAACCGACAATCACCCTATGACAACTACTGACGAACATAAAGGATTCCATACCCAAAACCGGCAAATCTGGGGTTATATAATAAATACCATGCAAGGATTGAGAGAAACACTACATAGGCCAAACAAGAAGAAAATTGCCTATATAGATACATGAACACCAACTAGCCACCAAGAGACATGACCAATTCTCACTTGTCTCACTACACACGGACAACGAGGGACACGAATTCGACTGGGACAACACATCGATAATCGCACAAGCCAAACAGAGACACGCCAGGAAATTCTTGGAGGCCTGGTGTTCTAACCAGAACTCCAACAAGAGAAACATTGAATTAGACCCTGTGTACAAACCACTGAGAAACAGAACCAAAAGTAATACCAACCATCCCAGCAAACCGAGGCATATAAATTACAAGCGGGCAGAATACTAACGCTTCACTGGAGGTGCACTGACGATGTTACCTAGCAGGGTGATGAAACGTTTGCAACCAAACCCATCGGTTTGGCGAGCGTGTGTACAACTTCATCCACAACCCGAGCTACAAATCTTCTCGCAAACTTTGAAGGATTTATTTTTTCTGTCCTAAGTCACATAATTAAATATTTTAAATGGTGCTTCAATCAATGGTGTAAAAGCTGCAACGCCTAGAGTTGAGACATCCTGAAAACACAATGTAAATGCTAAAAGGAATTTTCACAATGGAAAACATGCATTTATGCAGGTGGAATCGAGACAGTTCACACATTCAAATATCTTCTGAGCTGACTTTAATACTAGAAAAGAACTAAGAGTAGTGTTATTACTTTTTAATCTCCACACATCATAGAAACAGAATTCACGACAGAGGAAAATTCTTCACTAGTTATTCTCACACATCATATGATATACTATCAACGCCAAATTCACCTTTATTGTTCAATTTTTATAATTATTTCAAAACTAAGATATTCAGTTCATTGGCATGTGTATTAATCAGAGATAACCTGCAAACCAAACATGAAGATGTTATGAAGAAACCATACAAATGCTAAGACCCAGTGGATGCTTTGTGAAAAATGCACTTCTGACACTGAAAAGGCGTTATTCTGCTTCTGCCTTATACTCCTAGGTCCTCAATAATATTCAGGAAACAGGGACTGAACAGATGGCCTCTAAGGACCATATTTCTTTTCAGCTATGCTTTATTGGAACAGATATTATTAATCAGCCTGTGCAGAGATGTGACGAAACATCGCTGGTGGCAAGTAGGACTCGAACCAAGGTCTCCGGCTCAGAGGTGGGAACACTACCTCTGCACTATACTTTATTGGAAACAAAAGCAAGACAAATGAAATCACCAGTGAAAAAGCATTAAAAGTTAAAATTGCTTCTTTCACATTAGCTTCTCATCAATCAAGCTGTGCCTTGGGGATACTCACTGATAAGTGCTGTTACTATGTCCTCCATGTTCTCTAAGAAGCTGCTGAGATGCTGTGTAAAGTTGACGTGTGGAGATGTAATTTGTGACACCAATGCTGCAGCTTCTGCACGAGTGGCTTCAGAATTTCTTTCATTAGTGAGGAGATCAGCCAAGCACAGCACACCATCCACCTGAAAATGAAGACAATCGAGAAATAATTAATAAGCATACATTTTAAGCCACATTCAATACTCCAATTTTCACCAGTCACAGCAGAGAGTAGTAGGTTGATTTTTCAAATCCACACACAGCTTTTGTTAACTCTGGAAAGATATAGTCAATAGAAATTGGAACATAGAAATGTACAGAAGGCTGTACATTACTGGACACCTTGATTTTCAGCTCTAGACATTGACTCAAACTTAAACAAGACTGGTGGATTATGAGAAAGGTCTGAAGAAGGGTCCCGACCCGAAACATCAGCTTTCCTGCTCCTCTGATGCTGCCTGACCTGCTGTGTTTCTCCAGCTTTACATTGTGTTATCTCTGACTCCAGCATCTGCAGTTCTTGTAATCTCTGGTGGATTAAAAAGGCTGGTTCACATACAAACAATCCTAAAAGATCTACAAAGATATGGGTGCATAGATCAAGCATTGTGTTGTAAGAATAAACGTGTCCATAATTCAGGAATATTTAATACTAAATGATCAGATTCACTCAAAATCCACAAAGATGGAAAGGTACAGAAGAAGGCAGTAGGCTACTTAAGCCCTCAAGAACGCTTCACTACTCTACTAGAGCATGGTTGGTCTCTTGGTTCAATCCCATTACCTGTTTCTGTCTAGATCTCTAGACACTCTTATCTAAATATAGTTTTTCAAAGTCAATCTTCAAAATTTCAATCAATCCATTATCCGCACCGCCTTCCGGAAAAATGAGTTCCAGAGTGCTACTGCCTTATGTGTGGAAGAGTCCTGTCTGATTTCACTTCTTGGAATGGTTTAAAGCATGGCTTAAGTAGAGCTTTGACAATAACCAGAGGCTTGGATGCCTGCTCAGTCTTAAATCCTCTAAAAAGGCCATCATTTCTGGATCCTGACATCATCACTTCTGAATTTTAATCAGAGAGGTTTAAAGGTGAATGAGAAATGAAGGATGGACAGAGACTCCTGGCTCCATTGGGATAAGACCTACAGCATACAGTCTACAGACTTCTGTTGCAAGAAGACACAACAGAGGAATATGAAAATTGCCCAGTAGCTCGTATGGTTGGCGGCAGGGGAGGAGGAGGAAGTTGGAAGACATTTATGATGGTCTCTGTGAGATAAGGATGTGACAGAGTAATTTCATATGGATGTGTATGAGTGTTGGGCTGTTTGGTGGGGATTTCAGATCATGCCTAGAGAGACAGAAGAGTGAAGTGTAGGATAACACTAGGAAAGATAGATTATGGAACTGACCCTGGAATTACTACATCACTCAGCTGCAGTTCAAAATCCTCTTAGAGCATGGTCTCCAAAGTTGGAATGTCCATGCTTGTGCTACTGACTTCCACAGCTACTTCTTTTGTGGTTTAAGAGTCTGTCCTCTTTCTCCTGTCCACAGCAACATCACCTCATCACTGCCCCGAGATCCTTCCGTTGGACCTCCAGGCAAGAGACCAAGTGAGTAACCTTGCTAGGTCCAACAGTGGTTGCAGTAACTATCAAGGTTCATGTGCAGCTGAAGCTTTTCTGATCCATGCCAGGAGTCCTTTAATGAGAACATTTTCCTTTGGTAGACCCAGTAGGTCATCCCACCCACCCGATCTGATTGGTCAATACTAAGCATAGTTATCCATTTGCAGTTCTATGTGAGAGAAAAGGTGGAAAACCCACAATTGTATATTTCAGTCTCTTTGACATTGGCTATGGTCAGTACTGGCAACCTCATTCTCACCTTTGGTCTTAAAACTTCTGATGTTGATAGTTGTATGGACTCATGAGGTCGCTAAATGTATGAGCTGCAGTTTATGGTGATGTCTGTTGCTGCCAACCATTTTCAGTGTCAGAAATATAGGGCTGGCTTGGTCCAGTGTGGGGTAGAGGAAAACCACTTCCTGGTCTTACTAGAAGGCTCTTGTAGTTGACAAGATACAATTTATTGCATGATAGCAACTAGTTACATGTTATATTGATATGACAGATATTGTTACAGGACTTTGAGGAGGACCAGATGTTTGGTTTCACTCCTTCAAGATCCTAAGCTGCCCATCAAGCACCTATCACAGTGGGTGCTGGTTACAGCACATCTCAGTGTTAACTCTTTCAGACTCATATACCACATCAATAACTTAGAAACTCAGAGATAGTAAGAACTGCGGATGCTGGAGTCAGAGATAACACAGTGTGGGACTGGAGGAACACAGCAGGCTCCTCGCTGTGTTATCAATAACTTAGAAACAGTCTCTTTTTTCCATACAGTCTGTAGTGTCATCAACCTTCTGTGCATTATTTCTATCAGAATCAATGGTACATTCTTCTGAGACATCAATGCTACTAACAGGTTTTGATTGTTGTGACAATTCATCAGATATATCAAATACAACCTAACTGTTTTGCCTTAATTTTATAACCAGTGTGCTAATTTCAAAAAGTGATGACCATGTTCCACTATCGCTGGCATCAGCACATACACAACATGTTCCGCAAATAGAAAAATTTACAACTGGGATCCATGTACAATACTAAAATGCACCCCTAGACTGATTCAATTTCAAAGTTCATGGTGAAACACAACTCTGAGCTGGATTCTCCTGCTTTCAGTGTCATCCTGATGCAGAGATTGTTTTCTTTGAAGGCTGGAGCACACTAGATGTTAGCCTTCTGTGGGAAGTGACCAAGTAGTGGGAGACTCTATGATAGCCATTAAACAACTGGCAGCAGGATCTAGATGCTCGACAGGTGCTGATTCAAAGTGCAAGTAGCCAGCAGGACTCAACTCTATGAGGAAACGGTCTATCAAAGTAGTGACATGATCATCTGTCCTAGTAGCGAGGCCCTAGGTTTGCTAGTTCCTCCTTGGAGGCTATTCCAGGGACTGGGAGAAATATTTTGTTTTCCAGGAGGAGGCCTGCCAAGTATGTGATAGAGATACGACCAAAGATCACCAGTGAGGTCAGCAGCCTCAGCATGGTCAGCAGCACATGGGCCCGATGCAGCCAGACCCTTGGTGACATTCTGCTTCTAGCAAGGGGTTGATGCAGTAAATTTAAGCTGTCAGCATGAACACCTTACAGGGCAGGCACGCTGAAGGCAGTCAGTGACATCTCAGGTACCCGAGGAGATCATTGTCAATCCTCACTGGAGGGAAATGGAAGCTTAGGAGGATTGTCTTCCAAGTCTTGAGCAAATGGAGTGATAGGGAACCAGGATGGTTAAATGGAAAGATTAAGTGTAGCTGAAATTTCCATCCTCACATTTCAGGGAAAATGAACATACATCACTGGAAAATGGACTGGCCAAGCTGACAATCTCGATGTTCATGGAGGGGGACATTCTTGATATTGGCAGAGTATTTACAGGCAGGCATTTGCAATAGCAAGATTGCTGTGCAGCAGAGAGAATGACAGGCAGAGTATTCCTCACCCCGGAACTATGTAGGTTATGGCAAGAAAATTTGGAAATTTGACGAGATGTCCAGCAAGGTCCTTCTTGATGTTGAGAGCAAAAGGTTGTATTTTTCAACCAAGTGCTGGATGTTGAGGTGAGATTTTTGCTAGAGACCAACAAGAGGTGTGTTAACATAGATTATCATTTATTATTACCTAATCTCACCTCATGAATATATAGTCTCCAATGCTGCACCCACTAGATAGCAACCAGACATTGACAATTCCTGACAGAACAGGTACTTGGCGACTCATGCTCTCTGTTTGTTTCTCCAGACCTCTCCCTTAGATATTCGGCACCAACATTTCAGGGTGTGCTCCATAGTTAGTGATCGCATGCAGCCCATGTCCATGGAACTTGCTGTTCAACATCTGCCAGTTTCACACATCATCATGGCATATCTCTCATCCACTTATAACGTGGTTCTGCACTTTAATATTATACTTTGGAGTGCGTCGGTACCTTTCATTGTTGTTGCAAGGACACTTTGCATGTGGGGTCAGGCATGCAGCTGATGGATTTGACCAGGGAGCAACTCTAAGTGTACACTCAGTTTGACTCTACCTAGATATTCATAGCAGTCCCATCTTGCCTTTTTCCACTTTGGCCCCTCAGCTAAATCTGAAAGACTCAAAGTTTTTCTGTCTGGCCCTGTTGTTTGGTGCAAAAACAAAGCAAGGCATCATGTCATGGTTGTCAGCACTCATTAGCAAAGGGGGTGAAAATGTTGCTGTACAGTACATTGCTATGTCACTCTCCCAACTGAGGCTTGCACCAGCAAATGCACTGCATGCGTATCAACCAAATGGCCATGGCTCAAAGTCAAAGGGGAGTAGTCATCAGACAGACATAACAAACAACAAACTGAATTTCTCAATTAAGATTCAAAAAGGACAACAACAATCTTGCGTGTAGTGTGCTTCAAGTTCTCATGAAGCTTAAAGTCACTGCACAGTTTAGTGGGAGCTCGCCATGATTTTATGGACAAAGACAACAGCTAAGTTCAGCACAGAAAAATCCCAGAAACATTGGTTAGAGAAACAGCGAGTTATTTTAATGGTGGTGGTTTAGTGGTGAATGTTGGCCAGGAGAGAGTGTGAGAAATTGTTACTCTCCTTTAATATTGCCATTGATTTATCTTATGTCGACATGAACTGATAGGAGCAATGCTTTAACATCTCAATTAGAAGCAGTAAACCTCCAACAGTGCAGAAGTCCCTTAGTAACATACTAAAATATCAGATTAGATTGTGTGTTCATGTCTCTTTGATAGGGCTTGAACATAAAGGGGAGGTATTGACATAGTGGTATTGTCACTGTGACTAGTAATGCAGAGGCCCAGGTTAATATTTTCCTTAACAGGCAGACAGGTTAAAAGGCAGGGAAAACGGGGATATGGACTATGTGCAGGCAGATGGCATTTAGTTTAACATGGCATATTATTTGACGCAGACATGGTGGGCTGAAGGGTTTGTTCCTGTGCTGTTTTAAAGCATCTGACTGAAGAGATAAAGATGCTGGAAATCACACTGTGGAATGT